AGACGACATAGTTATTAATTTATGTAATTATTGCAATATTCGTTGGACGCATTTTATATTCCAAAAAAAATACGATACATCATAATATCAAGTTTTATGATAAACGTAACATTATATAACCCAACACATACCAAAGGGTTTGTAGTCCAGCGGTATCAGGTGATGCCTTTCCTCTTTGAGGTCAATGGTTCAAGTCCCGTTGTGGACATAAATGTTGTTAGCTTAGGAGTAGATTAGATTTACGGGTTCAATATATATATATATATATATATATATATATATATATATATATATATATATATATATATATATATATATATATATATATATATAATAACTAAGCGTCCAGATCGGCAATGAAACCATTAAAACGTATGATAAACTAAAACGAATGACAAAAGGAAAAGAAATAGACCAAATCTAATTTTATCTTGAGATTTATTCGTAAATTTATGGTAGAATATAATAATTTTATATTGAGACTTCTTCGTAAATTTATGGTAGAATATAAGACTTTAAAAAAGAGATCGGTAATGAAAATGAAACCGAGAAAAGTAAATCAAACGGATATTTTTTACCGATAATTAGTGTTTTTTATCGCAAACTATGATAAAATCATAAAACCGGTTTTTTGGATTCAAGCCGGTTTTTGGATTCAAATTGCACCTCCAAGACTCCCAACACGTTCCTTTATCCGGCCATGAATTTTCCGGCGACATCTTCGGTGATATTTACCGGCCAATATATCATGCGAAATTGCTTCCGATTCCAACTCAAATCATATCTTTTTTTCAAAACCAGGTTTTGTATGGGTCGATTTCGTTTCCAGACAATCCCATAATCACCTTCAGATCCACCATTGAAGCCCACGAAATTGAAATATTTGTAGAGTTGAAATCGTATAAACTTGCAGGAACAATTGAAGAAAGTTCGAAACTTTACTCATGGGTGAAATCCATTGTTTGTGTAAAAAGATTTTTTCTTGTATGTAATCCTCTTCTCCAACCAACAACTAAAGAACATCAAAACGTGTCATTTTACAGCGACTACATAAACACCACACAAAAAGCCTCATTGAAACCTAACAACAATGCAAGAAATATCATCCCTGCTCTTCTTCTCAACGGCCTCCTTGATGATTTTCTTCGCCGCCGATCGAGGGTCCTCCGTATCCTTCACGCAATCCACCGCCTCCTGATTCGACATCACCTTCCAAACACCATCACTCGCCAAGATCAAAAACTCAGTATCATCATCCACAGTCTCCACCAACACATCTGGTTCTGAACTTATATGCTCCTTCAACCTCCGGTCACCAAACGACCTCGTCATCGCCAAGCTCCCATCAACTCGCGCACAATCCCCTGCACAATTTCATCAATCAATCAATTCATTATTCACCACAACATATAACAATCGATCTTCTGATTTCAATTTAATACCTGGGTATTCAGTTACGAAACCCCCTTTTTCTTCAATGACCTTCCGCTCCTTGTTAGGCTCGTGATCGACGGACAACTGTTTTGCTACACCGTCGCGGCATAAAACCGCCCGCGAGTCACCGACGTTTGCCACCACTAACTTCTCGCAGTTTATCAGGATAGCTGTAACAGCTGTTGAACCTCCTTTACGCTTCTTGATCGCTTTATTGATAATCGTGGAGTCTGTAAATTCATACGCTCGCCTAATCGCTTCCTCCGGCTCCGACCAAAAGTCATGCTGATCGATCGTCAAGTCGAATGACATAATTAGCATCAAGAACACCATCAAAGTTAAATGGCGAGAAAATTTATAATTACCTGGTTTATGATATTGTCGAAGAGATGTGACCGGAGATAATCTGGAACTTCCTGGCTCAAATGGCCGTCGAATACAGCAAACAATCCAAGCTCATTGCCGTCGACCTGCTTAAATTGTGCATAAACATAATCCTCCATTGGATGTGGCTGTTTGCCCTCAACGGAATGGTATCCATGGGTTATCTTCTTGTTTATCCTGCTCCTCCCTTTTCCAGTTTCAACTGTAGCTGAACTCAGATCACGTTTTTCCTAGTGAAATTAGGTGGTGTATGATCAGAAATTCAAAATGTTGAACGAATTCATAAAAAGGGGGAGGGTTTTAGGGTACCTGCATCTTACATCCGACGGAAGCTTCAGCTTCTGGTTATTGATTTTTGGTCGTTTTCGCCGGCGTTATATAGGAAGAATCACCGACGGAGATTAAGCGGTGGAAGATGAGACATGCTGTAAAACTGCCACGGCGAAGAGGTTGATTATGACTCACGTATTCGTGTATAAATACTGGAGTTATTCTTTGTAGTAGTAAAGAAGTTTTAAAAAATTGTGGAAATTTTGATTAATAATTAGACAGACATATGTAAGTTGAAAAATCTTACTGAAAATGGGATATTGCATGTCTTTGTTGAATGAAAATGGTGAATACATATAATCTTATCATTTTGTGATTGTAAAAAAATAATTTTATTCCAAAACCACAAATAATGAAGATAGTTTCGAGGAGTCCATTTTACGTTGAATGGTAGTTTTTATTAGTTTACTAGGTGTAACTACCGTGTATTACACGGATTTATAAAAAAAATTAATATAAAGTTATAAGCATTACATAATAATTTATATAAATACAAAAGATATAATAAATGTAATGCAGCAGATTTGAAAAGTTATAAAACATTTTTTATGAAATTTAATAGAATAATCTACCTTACATATATAAATCTCACTAAAATATGAATTTTAAATTTAAGAAAATAACAAGTGGAAAAAAAATAATTCAAAAACTTTTAGAAATTAACATGTATCAAATTCAATGAGATAATGATATTTGACAAAATTGATTTTTATTTTTTAGGTTAGATTTTCCAATGGCTTTAATGCTTACTGGTTGATGATTTTAGGCTTCGATCCTTCACAAAAAAATATCCAAAGTTTCAATTCCTTTTTAGTAGGTTTCTTCCCATGGCCTCAATTTGGGCTTTTAATGATTGTGGTGTCACTCCTTTACAATACTCCTTTCTGTCCTTTGGCTCTTACAATGACTGAATGAAACGAGCAAATGTTCAAGGTACATTTTTTAAAAATTTTCGACTATTATTCAAGAATTCTCTTTGGTGAGTGACATTTTTTTTTTGGTTTTGATTGTTACGTGGTTAAAAATGGGTTCAATTTGATGGTAAATGAGGCAAGAAGATTTAAGATAAAGTTAGTTTTGAGTTTGATAAACAGTTACAAAAATCTTGATGGTAAAAAGCAATATGTGAATTGTGCAAGAAATCAATGCCAATATTGTTAACATTATGATCAAAATTTGAGATTTGGTTAAGTATGATGAACATCTTCTCCATCATTTGTTAATATTATGATCAAGAAAAAAGTCATAATGAACAATAATTAAGAAAATATTATGTTTATCTGGTAAGACAAATGTTTTAGTTTAAACAGAAAGTCTTTACTTTAATACACGCATCTGACGGGAGAAATCGAACCTGAAACTTTTGAGACGGGTTAGGTCGGGTTCGTGGTTATGGGATCGAGTATTACAATTTTTTTCTAAAACATTTTGACCCACTATCTTATCCTACCCTAAACCATTTATATTTTTATAATACTTGTACTATTATTAATAATAATATGATTTTAAAATTATATTATAGTATTATATGTAATTTTAGAAATATAATTTTTTTATGTACCTTATTACTACTTAGAGATTAATGATATTGTTTTTATTATCCATGTTAGAAATTTTAAATTTTATATGTTGATGATTATATTTAATTAACATATTAAACTTTGTAATGTTCCTAGGAATTGAAAGTACGAAAACATCAAGTTGTTTTTGTAGGAGATTGTATCAAAGGTAATAAAAATCCCAACTAGTAATTTTTAACCTATTGTCATTATAAATAAAAAGTTTGATACCAATAAATATATCATATACCCGTAAACATGATGATTATTTATTAACAGTATATCCAACATGACAAAACTGAATTGAAATACTATTTTATAACCAAGTATGGATATGGATGGAAATGTTACCATGAACCTAATGATCCTTAAACATTTTTCTGTTATAACAATGTTATATTAATCTTATTTAATTAATATTTACTCTATAAATAAAAGATTACATGTAAGGCCCAAAGTTAATTAATAAGCCCAGCTATCTAACCCATATTTTTCGACTTCATTCGATAGTTTTAATCTTAGGCTTTTAGCGCCTGTTGCCATGAACCTATTTTTTACGTCACGCTGACGTCTGCAATCAAGACACACATTTGCTTAGCTGTACTAAACGCTTCGTAGGTTGTACATTAATCATCAGAATCCTTATTATTTATTTATTTATTTGATTTTACTTTTTTTAAATGTCGTCCCATGTTTTTACTTTTTTACCACCCTCTTTCTCTGCCCTAGAGAACGGCCTCTCTGTACTCATATAATTTTTCCAATAATTTTCAAGAATCAAACACCATTTTCATATTCCATTTCCCCTATTTTTCTTGATCTTCTTCTAGAATTTCAAACCCACCATCTTCGACCCGCTGTTCCAATTCAATTTCACAAACCCTAGTTTTAATTTTCAAACATATTTAATTTTAATCCCCCCAAGTGTTTCAAGAAACACACACAAGTCCCAAGGTATACTTGCTTTCTTCGGGTGATATTTCGCTTTCAGTTTTGTTGTCCTTAAAGATTTCGAATTTAATCGTTCGACTGTCATTTCAGCGTCTTTCACTTTAAAACATCAATTATATTACATCAGTTGCGTCTCTGAATCGTTTCCCGTTTCCGCATTTCGATCTCCATCGTCAAAGCTGTCGCTCGCACTTATAGCTCCACTGCTCGATTTTGCTCCAATTGTTTACCCGAAGCATGTTTTGATTCGAAACGACAATGAATTGACATAAAGATTGATGATTTCAATTTCGAATTGAGGAATTCTGATCACACAAAGTCGCATACATCCATTGAGTGGAGATGGAAGATGCAACAGCTCTAATTGAGGCCACGGGATCTCGGTTTAGTAATATTGAACTCATTGGAAGGGGATCGTTTGGAGACGTTTATAAAGGGTAAAATTTTGTTCAACAATTACTTAATTCATTGTTGTTAATTCAACCTCTAATGATTGATATAATACATTGATTTACAGGTTTGACAAAGAGAACAACAAAGAGGTTGCTATTAAAGTTATTGATTTGGAAGAATCGTCAGTTCTTTTACCCTAAATCTTGATAATCCATCTGATAAACAATAGTCATTTAAAATGCTTTTTGGATTCTTCTTTCTTGTGTTTTTATGTTAAACTTTTTTTCTTTATGTTATGCAGAGAGGATGAAATTGAGGACATCCAAAAGGTACGAAATTTATCATACTAGTTGTATCGAATTAGTAAGAAAGATTTCAATTTTAATAAATCATATTTGTTACAGGAAATAGCAGTTTTGCAACAATGTCGATCTCCATATATAACTGAATACTATGGTTCTTATCTTCACAAAACTAAACTATGGATCATAATGGAATACATGGCTGGTGGCTCTGTTGCTGATTTAGTAATTTACTTCACCTTATCACAAATTCATATCTCCATTTATAATTTTTATTTTTTGGGATGAAAAAAGATTGTATTTTTTTAATTTATTCAACAGATTCAACCTAATCAACCTTTGGATGAAATGTCCATATCTTGCATCCTACGTGACTTGCTTCTTGCAATCGAATATCTCCACAATGAAGGAAAGATCCACAGAGACATAAAAGGTCAAAACTTGATAATGATTCATTGATTACTTTTTTGCAAATTTATATTCTCTAATGAACATTTTCTGACATTTAATGACAATGTTTGTATCTCTCTCTTATTGACAGCTGCAAACATTTTGTTGAACGAAAGTGGTGATGTTAAGGTATCAATCGATGCTTATTATTGCTATTTTTATTAAAAAGTTATGTTTTTTGTAACACCCTTGATAGGAAATGTTACGATTGCTACTAAAGTTGAAAACTTTCTTCTTTTTTTTGTGACAGGTGGCTGACTTTGGGGTGTCTGCACAACTTACAAGAACAATTTCTAGAAGAAAGGTATTAACTATTAACATTATTGTGTATTCATATGATCATATATCATATCTTTTACTAATATGCTAATAATCTTTTCTATTTATTTTTATGTCACAAATTTTTGTAACAGTTGTAGTTTGTAATAGACATTTGTAGGAACACCATTTTGGATGGCACCAGAAGTAATCCAAAATTCAGAAGGATACAACGAAAAGGTTATACATATATATTAATATATATCTATATATCTATATATTATATCATAATTATTTTGGAAATGGTGTTTGACTTTGGTTTGACTTTGCTTCATGCATTTCAGGCAGATATTTGGTCTTTAGGAATAACAGCAATTGAAATGGCAAAAGGGGAACCTCCATTAGCAGATCTTCATCCAATGAGAGTACTTTTCATTATACCTAGAGAAAGTCCACCTCAGGTCTTGATTTTTTTTTAAAAATTTTTTCCCTTTATTTCATCATTTAAATGATTTAATTTACAAAATCATCACTAAATTTATTATAATGTCACCTTTTTTTTTGTTTTTTTTACACGTGTCTTGCAGTTAGACGAGCATTTTTCGCGACCTATGAAAGAATTTGTCTCATTATGTTTAAAGAAATCGCCTTCTGAAGTACGTTACCTTTTTCGTTTCCCCCCCTTCAACTCTCCCTCGTTTGCGTATTTAGTCCCTGACTTTTTTTTATGACTCAGAGGCCAAGTGCTAAAGAACTCCTGAAGCACCGATTCATTAGGAATGCTAGAAAAACTTCAAAACTCCTTGAAAGAATCAGGTTTTTATTGTAATCTTATTACAATAGTTCATGACTTTATGCAATTTTTTACGATTGTAATAATTTTTTACAATTTTTTTTTTAACAGAGAACGACCAAAATTCCAAATCAAGGAAGATGATGATGATTTGGCAGATGGCACAACAGTTTTAAGGGAAGGATCTGACACGTTTAACATGACAAGGATTTCAAGAGTTGATGACACTGTTCGAGTCAGGTAGAGTAACAACTAAACCAATACCTTAAATTAAACATTTGACCAACTAGATTCTTACCTTAAACTCTCAGAAATGACGGCTGGGATTTCAGCATTAGCAGCTCCACAAATATAGGGACAGTTAGAAGCTCTGTTAGACCACCTCAAAATAAAGATAGAAAATCAGACACCCCTTCAACTCAAAAGAAACTACAAGTGCTCACCGGAAAAGTCGCCGGAGATGAAGAAGATATGTCTCTGGTGGGCGGCACCGGAACGGTGGTTATCCGGTCTCCGAGAGCACAAAGATCTTCATTTTCCGGCGATCAGAACACCATGGTAGGGTCCGCTTGGGTTATAAACTATTATATTCTAGAATCATCTAGTATTTTTTTTGGTTTTGACTTTTGACTGGTCAAACAGTCAAACATGTTGACTTCACTTGAAGATGCTTCCACTAGTGGGACCGTTGTATACCGTGGGTCCCACCATGAAGATTCGGATACCCCTCGGACTCCAAAGTCAAAATTGGGAATTCAAGAACGATCTTCCGTAGCTTCACCTGAAAATAGTGCCATAAATCTTGCAGAGGTTTTTTTTTTTTTTTTTTAAATTATAAATCTTTTCGATTATATGAATGTAATTTTGTAAATATGTAATCTAAAAACATTGATTGTCAATTTGTCATCAGGCAAAAGCTGCACTTCAAGGAGGGGGAATGAGGAAAGCAAAGTCAAGAGAAAGGTCTGGTTTGACCAAGGTCAAAAAAGATGTCCATGATGCAAGAAAGCCGTTGACTAAAGAAGAAGAGAGACTTAGAGTATCTGCCACGTCAGCATCTGCTACACTATCCACTCTGATAATCCCATCTTTGAAAGAGGTGGGAACTCCACTCATACTCATATTATTTCATTAATCAAACATAAGTATGATCAAAAAATGATTTTGTTTTTGCATATGTATATATGTTATAGGCTGTTTCTGATGATTTAGAGGCTTCAATTGTGCATAATGTTATAAATTCTTTGATGGATATGGAATACACAAAACCTGGTTCTTGTGAGTTTCTTGTTACAAGGTTGCTTCATCGGTTAGCAAGGTAAGCTTTTGGGCTTGTTTCTTTTTGACTTAATATGTTAAGCACTTAAAAGCTATTTTACTTATGCATGACTTTATGTTGCTTACATGACTTTTTTGTTTTTATTTTTCAGCTCAAAGGAACCAGCTTTGAAAAATGTGCAAGAAGTGGCGACACGTGGGTTTTCCAAGGGTAAAAAGGTCAATGAACAACCGGAGAATGTGAATCAAGAAGACGATAGTAAAAATAAGCAACAGAAAAATGAGGCTCAACCTAATGGAAACTTGGGCCCACTTGCGAGATTCTTGCTTTCAAGGTAATAATTGAATAGTATAATAAATCAATTAAAATTGTTTTTAATTTGTTATAACTTATAAATTTTTATCTTTGTTTTGATGTAGATGGCAGGGACATAGTCCTTAAGATGGTAACGCAACTTAGAAAGATTGGATTTTTTTGATTGCTGAGTATAACTTTTGTGATGCGAGTTGTGTTTTTTTATCGATTAATTTATTCAAATGTACATTAACTTTTGTGATGCGAGTTGTGTTTTTTTTTTTTATCATTAATTTATTCAAATGTACATAATATTTTGAGGAATCTGTAAAATTTTAATCTTAATTTTTTGGGTGGATATCGACTTTCCAGACTAGGGAGACTAGGGAAACAATTAATTAGACTATTTGATTCGAATATTTCGATTGATTTTTTGGTTATCAATTAGACTATTTGGTTTGGATTTTTTGATTGAGTTTTTGGGTTTTAATTAGACTATTTGATTTGGATTTTTGTATTGATTTTTTTGGTAAAACCGAATTATTATTTAAGTATTTGATTTGGATTTTTGGATTGATTTATTGGCAAAACCGAATTATTATTTAAGATTTAGAACTGATTTTGATTTGCAAAATAAGAACCAAATAATCTGAAAAGCTGGATAAAGCTTTATTTTTATTTAAATTAAGGGTTTAGGTTATTTTTGGTTACATAACTTTTGGTTTTGTGCTCATTTGGTCACTTAACACTTTTTAAGCTTTAAAAGGTCATCAAACTTTTGGCTTCGTGCTCATTTAGTCACTTAACTTTTGTTTTGGTCACATTTAATCACCAAACTTTTAAAATTGTGTTCATCTAGTCACTAAACTTTTAAATTTTTTTAAAAGTTTAATGACTAAATGAGCAAAATTTTAAAAGTTAGGTGACTAAATGAACACAAATCTAAAAGTTGGGTGACTAAATATGACCAAATCAAAAGTTAAGTGACTAAATGAATACAAAATCAAAAGTTTGATGATCTTTTAAAACTTAAAAATACTTAGTGACCAAATGAGAAAAAAATCAAAAGTTAAGTGACCAAAAATGATTTAAACCCTTAAATTAACAATTGAACAATTTGTATTATTTTCATTTATAGAAGTGATTAATATTCAAGTTATATATTTTTTAAAATGTCAGTTTTTTGGAAACCGAGTTAAAAAAATGATCCAAACAAATTGTAATTTACTAATTGAATTTGAATTATTTGGATTGTATCTGAAAAATTAAAATCAATTTGAAAATTCATTTTATTATGTCACATCGAATCCAATTTATCATTTTCAATAAAATCAAGAAATGAAAACAAATGCCAATCATATTCATATATTAATTAGAAAGTGGCTTATTAAGGGGGTGTTTGGCTAAGTTTTTGAAAGGGTAAAAGTTCTTTTTGAAAAAGTTGTGAAAAATTAGGTTTCTATGACTTTTCCAAAAATTTCATTTTTTTTATATAAAAAAGTAGTTTTTATAAGATTACCAAACATCTTTTACCTTTTTATCTTTTCCTAAAAGTTAAAAGATATTTTAAAAGATTAAACAAACACCCCCTAAAACTACACTTTATGTTTTAGAGTTTTGTGGCACATCTTTTTAGTATTGATATATGTAACCCTTATAATTTTATAATCTACATAAAAGGTCTCTGTCATGTTATTTATACAAAAACGATTCATATATTCCCTCCGTCCAAATATTATTTTTCACCGACAAAAAACATAAAGAAAAACATTAATTACCACTAACTTTATATAATAAAATGATAGTTTTGTCCTTACTTTGCAGTTAATGTTACATTAAATGCTTAGTTGGTTAAGTAATAATGAAAGGATATTTTGGTAAAAAATTTATTTATTTTTTGAAAGTAGACTATTATTTTGGAACAAACCAAAAATGAAAGATGGACTATAATTTTGGGACGGATGAATTATTTAAGGTTTTCATATATTAGTAGGTTTGAGCTCTATATATAGAAAATAAATTATAAAATTTGTCTCTGTAAATTATAAAAAAAATGTCCTTTTGTATTATTATTATTTTTTTTTTTACAGAAACAGCCCATGGGCAATTTCTAGTTAAGATAAAAACGAATTTGATGGTTGTGGTACATTTCCTCGATGGTTATAACAAGCGATTAATGTAAAAAAGATCGGATTTTTTTGGTTATCAAGTAAGCAATATAAACTAGGCTGTTCAGGTTAATATATGACTGGAGCCATAAAAATGTTTTGGGATAAGATTCTTGTGATATTTTTCACTTTGGCCCCTTGGAAATGTTAAGTGGGTAATGTCTCTGTATTCGCGCACAATTACAAACATGTCAATGCTGCTGAGTTCTTTTCGTAGTCATTTCTTCAAACAGTTGGCGTGCACTTCCTTCTCGTCGATTCGTGGCACAGCAAGTCTCGCTTCTGGTTCCAGTTCTATATTATTTGGTTCAACCAAAGATTACCCATCAAGAAATTTGACAGATTTCTTGAATTTGAGTTCAGTTCATGCAGCATTCTCTACATCTTCTTCTAATTCTGAAAGTCCGACAACTGGTTCGTACCTCTCTGTCGACATACAATGTCGTCAAGATGTTGCAGTAAGATTTTCAAGTTCTAAACACAACTTTTCATGTATACCCAATTGATTATCGGTCATGAAATCACTGAAAGTTCCAATCTTGTTTCCCCAGGATATGCTTTCGGAAGCTCTTTTATGTTTTGGTGCTACTTCCACAACCATGGTCGAGCCAGACACCTGCGACTCTAATGACGAGGTAAAACCCTTTTCGATTCAACTCCACAAATGTAAAGTTTCAAGCTTCATGACCATTTCACTTCGCAGGTTTCCATTGGTTCGATCTTCTTGGTATCTCAAGACGTCCATCAAAGTATCACATTCGCAGCTAATTCAATAGGTTTGAAAGAAACACCCGTTTACAAAGTCACAACAGGCTACCAATCTGATTGGATCGAAAATTCTCGAGTTACATCACTTTCTTATCAATTCTTTACACGAAAATCATTCGCGTATGATTATAATCTGTTATAAACTTACATAAAATTGCAGGAATCATTCCATCCCATTGAAGTTAAAGAAGGAGTTTGGATTATACCCGAGTGGATAACACCCCCAGATCTTCAAGCTACAATCATAACTCTAAACCCTGGCTTAGCATTTGGAACAGGAGATCACCCTACTACAAAATTATGTCTATTGCTATTACATGATTTAATCAAAGGGGGAGAAACAGTTCTTGATTATGGCACAGGTTCTGGGATTCTTGCGATTGCAGCATTAAAGGTAGTATTCATTCCTTCATGTTCTAGAATCTTTTTTTTTTTTTTTTTTGGTTTAAAATCTTGACCATAAGGTACAGTTTGGTGCAGCGAAATCAGTTGGATTTGATATAGATCCTCAAGCAATAACAGCCGCACATTATAACGCTGTTCTGAACAACATAGGACCCAAGAATTTGGAATTGCGGCTTGTTCCTAGTAATCCTAACGACACCGGTTCTTCAAGAGAGGAATGGAATTGGGCTATGAAGAGTGAAGAGGAATTAGATGGGAATGGAATCATCGATGAGAAAGAGAAATACGATGTCGTTATTGGGAACATTCTTTTGAACCCTTTGTTAGATTTGGCAGATGAGATTGTTTCTTATGCGAAGCCTGGTGGTGTGGTTGGTCTTTCTGGGATTATCTTGGAACAGGTATCAACTGTTGTAGATCGATACTCGAATCTTCTAGAAGGTGTGACTGTCTCAAAGATTGATGACTGGGCTTGCATACGTGGCACAAAGAGAAATGCTTAGGTGGAGCATGCATGGATCAGTTATCAAGAATGAATGAGTTTTCGTACACGTGTTTTTGATGTATTAACTTTTTTCAATTTCAATGTTCTTAATGACATGGAGACATAATGTTTTTCCTTTTTTCGACATATAATGAAACAAAAAATCGAATATATGAGAAGTTTTTTCAATTAGTTTTACAAACAATCCATAACTTCCACACAAACATTTAACATTGTACATAAAATAAACAAAAGTCAAATGAAATGCAAACAGAATTAACACAAAGTGCTTCAAGCACAATTGTTTATGACATTATATTATGAGTACACATAAGTTAAAAAACAAAAAAAAGGGAAGTGTCACGTGTACAATTTGTAATTTGTATAACACAAATTAAACAAAACTTAAACCTTGGATTTGATCCATGCATTCATCACCTCTTCAGTTGCCTCCTAGCAAGAGCAGGAGCTCTGTTGGGGATATAAACCTTGTAGCTTACCTGTATCACACAACAAAATTCCATACATTAATTATTAGTTATACTCAAGGGTAAAACGGTCATTTAGTCTTTTAACACTCACTTGCACCATTTCACCACCCCTCATCACAGACATTGTCTTTTTCTCAAACTGTGAAGCCTCATTAGAACCAGAAGCAGAAGATGGTGTTTCCACTCCATCAGTTGACTTTTTGACCTCAACATTTTCATGGGTATTGATTATATTTTCCACCCTTTCAGTTGAAGATAAATCTGCACTCTGTAACTTTGGTTGTGATCCACTGGAGTCTGGTCCACTGTAAGTAGTATCAGTCTTTTCATGTTCATCTCTCCTCCATGTAAACCTACTCCTCTGAAGCACTGGTTGTGACACAGGATTTTCAACAACATTCTTTTCTTTATTATCAATAACAGGATCTACTACTGTTTTAGTTTGAATCCCACCTCTGAATCTACTTAGGTTTTCTAAAGCTTTTTGTCTCAAAATCGACTCCAAATCATCAACACCTGATTCAAGATTATCTTTTTCCTTACTCATCACAGATATGTTGTTGTTGTTATCAACTAATTCTTTCTTGGGTTCACCATCATTACTATCGTTGCTTTTACAAGAAGGGTAATCATAATCATGATCATAATCATACACCATCTCTTCTTTAACCTCATCATACCTTTTCATATCATCTCCTTCTTCATTCTCTGGTTGTGTTGCAATGGTGATAACAGATTTTAATCGCCTCGGGTTGTTTTCCATTGTTACATTCTCAATGTTATCATCATCATCATCTTTGTAAGGTGAAGAAGATCTCATATGTCTATTCCTATTCTTTCTATTTCCGTTTTTACCCTTGATTGTATTTGTATCTTCATCACTACTACTGTCTTCATCTCCACAAGTGGAGCAGCTTGCAGAATCACTAATATAATCATCTCTTCTTGACTTCTTCTTCTTCTTGATCTTCTTTTTGTTCTTTTTATCAGAATCGGATTTTTTCTTGGATCTTCTTCTCTTCTTCACAGGGAGTGAATCACTGGAGCTATCTTCACTATAAGATCTTCTTCTGCTTCGTTTCTTGCTACCCTTTACTTCATTTCTTGTGCGAGAGCGTGATTTTCTACTTTTATATTCGTCCTCTGAACTGGAAGATGAAATTAGTGATGAACTGGTTGAATCGTCATCAGAATAAGAAGAGTAAGAATCATCATGTCGACTAAGCTTCTTGGATTTATTTCTTCTACTTGTCTTTTTTCTACGAGCCTGAGCACATTGTAGCCAAAAGGATGATCCATATAAGCATTTGAAAAAGATAAAGATATGTAAACGAATTAGGGCAAATGCATTCGATACATGTTTGCCATTGTTGACCTCCCAACATATTCCAGTCCAAGTTTTAGAAGAACATATTACACCACAATACAGAAACTTAATTAGTTTCAACATATCGAAATCCAAAAATTTGGTTATCGAGTTGAGAGACAGGAATCGACTGAAATTTCGTATTTTAATAAAAAACGTCGTGGGAAACTGTCAATGTAGGATTAACTTATTGAGAAATCATACAAGAAGCCGAAACCCTAGAACTAGAAACATGTATGAATTTGACAAACCTCGGAGGAGATCTTCAGACTTTTTTTCTTCGAGTATTTTTTCTTGGAGGACGAACCACTCTTCCCCATTAAGCTTCTAATTCACTACTGATTTCACCTGCGATCAAAATACGTAAACAACAAAAAGGAAAACGAAAAGAGGGAAGATTTCGGGAAAACCAGAAAGATATTAGAATCATATATGCGATGAATCGATCAAATTAGCAGATTGCAACCGCCATTGAAGCCAAATCTCTCAATCTCTCATGATGCTCCGTGGAGCCACCAAACCACCAATAAGGGGTAAGAAAAGGGGAACGAGCAAAGTGTATCCAACAAGTAGATACATATTTCCCTTTTCGACAATATTGGTCCCCATACTATTAAACAATAACCAATTTTGGTCCTATAACTTTTTAGTCTTGGTCTAACAAGTTGTAACTAACGACGCAAAAATCGTAGATTTAAATCTTATTCTTGAAAGATGTTTAACATGTTAAAAGTTTTATTTCCTCTAGGTAAGTGTTATTTTTTATGAAGAACGCATTCACATATTTTGCACAAAATAGTTGTCAATTTCTACACCTTGTCCACATTTTAAGATAACATAAAAAGTAAAGAATAAAATACAATTTTTGTCTCATAGAATATGATACAAATAAAAAAAAAATATACATTGCATCCCTAAACACACACATACAACAATTCACCATATCAAAAACCTACAACACATCTTATTTATCACATTAAGCCTCAACTCCTTCATACAAAAACATATTTCCATCAATATTACACCATTTATTCTCAAGTATACATATCATATATCATATATCATATATATTATACTATATAGTCAAAACAACAAACATTAGGCTTCTTCAGCATCACTTGAACTTGGACGAGTATCAATGTAAAATTCTGAATCAAGACCATCCATTATCCTTCCTCTATCCAACACATAAACATAAAGTCAAACTAAAAGTCAAGTTCAATTGCTCATAATCACAAGAAAAGAGCTTAATGTTACCTTTCAAGAACAAATTTCCCTTCTTTATACTTCTGAGATTGTTCATGTGCTGTCTCCTGTTTTCAAGAATTCAAGATTCGTCACAAACTTTTCATATTTTACATTTTGAGATGCAAAAATTTACAAAAATGCACATAGAAACTGTGTAGACTTACATATTTCCAACCAACAATTTGTCCACAGCATACACAAAATATATCTGTAACTGTATGGATTCCTGAAAGCATCATCCTTTCCTCAATAGGTCCAGCTGTCACGTTCACCCTAAATAACAAAACGCTTGCACTATAGTAACTCCAATGGTTACCTCGATAGGTCAAAGTTGTATAGTAGAGGGACCAAAAATGTAAAAATATATCATCCATGAAGGATATGTTAATAACATCTTCATTCATTTCCAATTGTTTGTGAGCCTGATTTGCCTACTCGCATCTCCACTGCAAATAGGTGGGAAGATGGAGTTTAATCACTCGTTGTTTTAAGGAAGAATTTACAAGATTTAGTTAGTATACCATAAATTTGATTTCTTGATGAATTTTTCTCAGTATTTTTAGGCGATAGATAAGAACAGGGCACAATTGGCTCAAATTAACCTAAGATCGAATTATATGAAAGACATAGTTGAAATGTGTGTTGGAAGTGGGGATTATCAAATCAATTGGTACACAAAGAAAAGATGAAGTTTGAGTAACTTACACGTTGCTGAAAAGGTATGCTTTTCCTCTGCGACAATGGAAACCCTAATTGTATCACAAAAGAACATGCAAATTAGCGTTGCATATCATATAAAATGTTAAAATCCTTCATAACCTAAAATTGAAACTTGTAACAGTATAATTGAACGGAGTAGATGAAGATCATACGCAAATCATTACCCGGGAGATGACACTCTCGGCGAGGGCAAGATTTGTTTTGCAGAACTTGCATTTGTAAGTTCTTCCCTCCAACTCCACCAAAAATATCCGACCCATTTGTCACCTTGAAGCACTGAAATTCAAAACTGTTTCAGTTGTGACAGATTTATCTGAATCAAAACCCTCGAACTGATTTTCTTGTGGAAGAAATAGTGGCGAACTTGGATGTGACTAGTGAGCAGAGAAATAATCCACCGCCTATTTTCCTAACGCTGTCGTTATCGTTGTTAAAATAGTTGGGCCTAGTTGGACCATTTAAGGCCCAACCTGCTAAATTTGGGCCAACACTCACTATTCTTTTTTTTTTTTTTTTTTTGAATTTTGAAAAATGATTTCATTGTAATTACTAACGTAATAATTTAATTTTCAAATTTCAAGATAGCTTTTTTATGATTATTGTGATTTATTTTTCTTTACTTTTTAAAATGATATAATTGTTTTTTTTTCTTTTTTAGATGGTTACTTTTGTTGGGAAAATGTTGTGTTGTGACTATGATGCTTTATTTTAAGTAATGGGTTGTTTGATAGTTGCTAACCGAATCAGATTTGACTGAGTAAGGGTCTGATTGGGTATGAAGGTCTGACTGCATCTGCTCCTGAGTGAAACCTTGTTGTTTGATTAAGCATCTGATTAACTATTATAACCACTGAAAATGACCATTTTACCCTTCAACATTTATAAAAAATATTTCTTAAATATATGTTTATTTGGTTACATTTATCTAACATACCGAACAAAACAATCATATAAAAAAGACTTCTTAAATATAAATCCTGAATTTCATTATATTCTATCTATTTATTGTAAGAAATCTTGACACCATTTTGATGTAATCAAATGCCCTGGTTCCAACAACCATCCCACCTCACAAGTTTTTTTCTCCGTTCTTTTATTGAGCTCCACGAGTTCTTGAACATAATCTGTCATAACAATGAAAACAAATTAACCACATATACCATACTTTATGATTTCGTTTTGGGTATTTTAATAATTAACCTCAAACATTATCATATATTGAAGTATATTATACTTTTAGTTAAAGCACCATTATACCAAATCATGTCCCCAATTGGTTTTTACCAAATTATCATATAACTCAACTTCACAATGTGGCATGAAAAAAAATCTACAACAAGAAAGAAAGAATATGCTACAAGAAGATTAGATGTTGGTCAAACAGGAAGATCACTCATGCATTCTATCAAACACTTGGTTGGCATGGAAAAGTATCAAATACAAACATGATCAATTGACAACCATAGATAGAAAGTCATCTGAACAAGAGCACAAATAAAAAAAATAAAAAATAAAATAAAATAAAAAATAAAAAGTCAGTTGTACAACATTATAAGATCACGTTCTTCACCATTAATTCCAATATCATTTTCAATACCCAAAATTGAATGTTCAAATCAAACTAACTATGCAAATCCCGGATTACATCAACAATTTTTGATCAGACATCTTCATCGATCCAAATACACGAGAGAAGAAAGGTGAAACATACCTTGTATTTAATAGCCACCAAAGCAAACTAGAATCACTGTATTTTTGACATGTTGGACCTAATTTGAAGAAAAATATCGTTGATTGAAGAACTTTGTGTCAATAATGTCGATTAAAGAACGTTCACCCTTATTAACGTTCTCACACATGGAGGTCGGAGAAGGGAGGAGCAACGTGGGATGGAGGTCGTAGGAGGGAGGTTCGGCGAAGGAAGGAGCTAGAGAACGGAGGTGATGAAGAAGGCGCTCTATTGAAGGCGTTGGAAAGAGACGTGTTTTTTTATCAGGGCACGAATGTCTTTCTTCCATCACGTACTCAGTCAGCTTCTATTTTCTATAGGACCGAGTCAGATCAATTTTTTGAATGGAGACCGGGTCAGATGCTCAATCTAAACAAATCAAACATTGTGACCGGACCGAGTAAGACAAAAATGTCTGACCAGATCGGGTCAGCACCAAATCAAACAGGTCCTAAGTTACTAACCGACGATAGGCTTGCACCAAGATAACATATTAACATAGGGAGTGTAAAATTAAAACTGCCAAATTTGTATATTGTAAATAGTATAGGGACCATTATTGTAAATCCTATTATTTATTTTAGAGAGATTAGGGGGGTGTTTGGCTTGTCTTTTGAAAGGGTAAAAGTCTTTTTTGGAAAAGATAAATGGCAAAAGATGTTTGGTAAATATATTTTAAAAGTGACTTTTGGATTTGAGATAGAGGGAAAAATGACTTTTTGGAAAAGTTAGGAAAACCTGACTTTTTGTAACTTTTCCAAAAAGTTCTTTTGCCTCTCAAAAAGACAAGCCGAACACCCCTTAGGTCTACAGAGTTTTGGTTAGTTTTGGTTAATCGTTGAATTTAGAACTATGAATTTTTGACTTATGTCTTTGAAAGTTTTGAATGCATATAAAAGTTTCTATGACACGTAAACAACTTTAAAGAAAATGTATTTTCGTGAACCATGTGTAACTAAAATTTAAATTGTTAAAACCATTTTCATTTAATAAACAATTTTATTTTTTATTTTGTTAATGCATACATTCACCTCACACAAGTAATAAAACCAAACAAATGTGCATAATTAATGCCTATACCTAAACTCAATTTTATGGGTAGTATAACAGTGTTTGGCCAAAAACTATGGACAAGAAAATCTCTAAGCTGGTCACTAAAAACAAACTAGAAAATGACCACCAAACACTATCGTAAGCTCTCCATCGTCTTCCCTGGTCAAAGTCACAACGAGCAACATAGGGCAGCGGGGTGCCTTATTGTTGGGCTATGTATGGTGTTGGCCTTATCAAAGGGGAACCTTTTAGTGTTGGGTGCTTTAGTGTTGGACTGAGTTGTCTGAGTTATCTGATAAAATGATAATTCTACACTTATGTTTTTTAATTTATTCATGTATATTACTAAATTATAAAAATTCCAGCATCAATATCAATTGCTAGAAAAAAAAAATTATACATTTATATGTTAAACATAGAAACATAAAACGGTTTCACATTTCACAAATTCACAAACAATAATTATTAATTTTCAAATTTTAATAACACAGAAAGATTTTATAAAATAACAACCCTAGCAGCTGATGGACAAAAATCAATCTTCAAAAACATGTATCAAAGCTAACAACAAATTAAAATAAAAATTGATTTCGTGTGTAGACTTCAACTATATAATCACTTTCATGTGTATATTTTAAGAACAGTTTTCACACCAATGGATTTATAGAAAAAAAATATGGAAAAGCAAATCTAATGAGTCACGATGGCTTAGTGGCGACAACTCACAGTTGAGCACCGATGACGCACCAACAAAGGATCAAGGGTAGAGACAGGTATTGTCGAGGGAGGAGATCATCATTGATGAGGTCGACACTTTCAGAGAATGGCATCAGATCTTGTAGCTTGGTGTCAGAAACTTGTGGGTGTGCGATGTTGACGACGGGGGTGGCGGTGTTGTGTGAGGTCAACAATAGGAAGAGGTGGTCGACGCATTAGTTGGTCAGAGGTAAGAATATACTG